TCTCTTACCCAACATACGTATTCGTCGATCGAGATCATTCAGTGTACATATCTGAATGGAACAATCATCGTGTGTTGAAATGGATGGAAGGTGCAAAACAAGGCATTGTCGTGGCTGGTGGTCAAGGAAAAGGAAATGATCTTACACAATTGTCATATCCTCAAGGAGTCGTTGTCGATCAATTGGGCACTGTCTATGTGGCTGATGAATGGAATAATCGAATCATGCGTTGGCCTAAAGGAGCCACACAAGGAAGTGTCATTGTTGGTGGAAACGGTAAAGGAGAACAATCGAACCAATTCCATTTGCCCGTCGGTTTGTCATTCGATCGACACGGGAATCTCTATGTCGTCGATTGGGGAAATCATCGAGTACAAAAATTCAATATTGATTCAAATTCTCAACAGATGTTGAGAGTCAATCTTGTTGATATTGGCTTTTTATCTCTGGCAATGATCCATCGAATAAACGAGAGTGTGGGTCGGTGTATCTGGTCTGATTGCCTATGTGGATTGTGAAGGTGAATGTTAGCATGTGTGTGGTTTGATGTTACTGAAGCGAAGATCAACACTGGCGTTCACTCTCATAGGTTATATACACATTCAGAGGCTTACTCGATAGCTGAATTGAATGCAGATACTAAACGCGGAATCATAGTTCGCCGGAGTAGGAATTGGAGTCAATCAAATAAATTTTAGAGGTGAAGTGAGAGTCGAAGCAGATTATGAGAACTTCAAACAGTCTGTGATATTCTTTTCTCATGAAGAATTTATATTTGACACTTCGTCACTTTTAGTTAACAAACACTCTCAATTCAAAAGAAAAATATCATGAAGTAGAACAGTAGCAAAACGATAAAAGACATCTACATTAGATTAATTTTAAAAAGTGATTATTGCGAATAAAAGTTTAGTATCATTCAATATCTTCATTGGCTTTAATAAATGTATTTTCATTGTCTTGATGAGTTTTTTGAAAGCAATTTTTCACTTCGATTTTCTGTCATTATTGATATTAGATCAAAACTTCGTTTTTTTGTTGATGCTTTCTTGGTTCGACGAAGTTGTTTCAATGGGACTCATTTTTTCTCAAGAAGATGCTGTTGATGAACGCTTGCTGAATATTGTCCTGAGTTTCTCTTGGATTTAATGTTGTTTTCAGGTACTGGTTTAAGGGTGTCGTCTTGTTCTGTGATTAAATTGAAAATTTCTCCTCGTGAGAATTTCTTACTACATATTACGAATATATATATTTGATCAAGAAAAGGATTTGAAATTGAAAAAGCTTTAATTTTTCTTCTGTAAAAGTAAACATAACGGGTGCGACAAAAGCTTCTGGAAAAATGTCACTTCGTTTTTCATCGACTAAAACATGACCTTCATTGAAGGTTTTTTCAAACTGTTTGTTCAAAAAAGTTTTATCTTTGAGTAACGAGGACATCGTTTAATAACACTTAAATGTCGTCGATGGAAAACAAATCGTAATCGTTGCTTTTGAATGAATTGATCTTTAAGCAATGTGGTATTTATTTCTAGCAGAGTATTAGACGACAAAATCTAATAAACAAATAAGCAACAGTTTACGATGAATTGCATAAGAGAAATTTAAAACATACTAGAATATCAGGTATTTCTACCACAAAGGTTGCGAGTTAGTTTTTAGAGTTCGTGCTTTAGTGTTATTTTAAAATGTGCTCATTACTCAAAGATAAAACATGATAAAAAGTTTTTGAATATACAGTTAGTAAGTGCTTTTACTGTAGATTTTGCAAGTGTACTTTTGATTTTTTCGAAACATGTTTTAGTCAATGAAAGATGAAGCGATACTTTTCCAGGAACTTTTGCAACATCGATTATGTATCCATTTGCTTACAATAGTCTCAGATAAAATTTAATTTGTGGTAGTGCTATGATTTTAATTCATATAATATCGCCGTATACTTAAGATGCCTCCGATTTATGAGAAGGAATTTCAAAATTTAAAAGAGTTAGAACCTCAGTCCATGTTGAAAACAAAGATTTTCACAACGCAGTCGGAATTTTGTAGAATATTTCAAGTTGAAGTAAAAAGAATTAACATCAATTTGACTTATTTTCTAATGATTTTCTTTCTTTTTCTGTTTCATAAATATATTCAGCTGACAAAAACTGTTTCCAGTTTTTGTAAACGTTAATATACTGGTCGATATTTCTTGGCACCTCTTAGTACTTTTCGTTATTTCTTTATACGTCAGAAATATATAAGTCTGCTCTTGTTTCCTCAGTGTAAAAACCAACTCATCTGCATGATCAAGTGACAAAATACTGCTCCATAATGTCTTTCAATAGTTCAAAAATTAATAGAAACATCTGTATTAGGATAATATTGACTAGGAATGTAAGCTGATTATGTCACTGATTATAGCAGTAATTGATAAATATTGTTTTAAATAACCAGAAACATATAACGAGTATACATAGCTTTGGTAATATCAATCAATAGCACTGCAAAAAAATGTCTCACAATCAAGAGTTTGAAGACATTTCTAGTATTCAAATTTCTATTGAGAAGTCAGACGTAATTTTTCGATATGTTTCCTCTTAGCAAGCATGGGAAACTCCAATGAGTTTTGAGCACTTAAAACTATATCCAGTAATCAAAAGTATCTTTTGCATAGGTTTGTCCACTTTGCGTAGTCAAACTTCTCATGGATTTTGAGTCACAACAACATTTGCAACAACTCAAAAATCAATGTCCAATCGAGAAAACTTTTAAAAAGCTCAATCTTCGATGCTTACAAAGGAGCTCAAAAACCGAACAGACCAAGCAGAAATTGTCTATTTGAAGCATCCAACCATTCATAACATTCATCGTCCACTTTCGATGCTCTATTGGCGAATGCTCATTCATACTCCAAACAATTCGCTAGTTTCAGCATCCTCACTATCGACTGACATGCGTAAGAGCGCCAAACGGCAACAGTGTGGTATCACTGTAGCTGGAGGAAATCGACAAGGCAATGGAATCAATCAACTCTCAAACCCATCGGGTTTGTATGTTGACAATGATCAAACAATCTATGTTGCTGATCAAGTGAATCATCGTATTGTGGAATGGAAACGAGGTGCAACAAGTGGCCAAG